TGGATGGGGACAGAATGCTGCTAGAAGACTGTTATTAAAAAAATGTGGAGTTTCAATGAGTTGTCCTTCTTGTAAACTTTTAAATAATGGGTGGGGATATAGCAACACAGTCCACTGAGTGAAAATATAAGAACGTTTGCTTCTTTGGACACTCACCTTAAATGCATTGCCTCGAATTATGATAGATTATATATCTATATGATTATTTACAACCATGGTATTGGAGGGGAGCTGCTGTTAAGTAACGGATAAGTTTCTTGCTGCCTTTTTAGCCTCTTCAAACTCAGGGGGCCCTATTGTATACTAAGCTGCAATGGTGCAGAGGCCTGAACCGCTACAGCAAAAGCAGGGCAGGCGGGTTCAAGGCCCTGCTCTGTGCACGGGAGAGCAAGCAGCGCAGCTTGAACTCCAGCATCCTTTGCACCAGTGGGACCCGTCAGCAATAGCTGCCAACACTGCAGCTGATGGAAGAGATTCTGGGATTCCAGGATACATTAACTGTGCTATCTTTGAAATGCCGCATTATATGACATTGGACTATTGGGTCCTCCTCTGACACAGTATCACCTGCTGTGACTGACTGGCTGCCTCCCTCCAGGGTCCCAGGAGGAGAAAGGTCAGTCCGACGCTGCCACCTGAGATGCTTTAGCTGGAGATGCCTGTGATTGAACCGGCACCTTCTGCAGACAAATTACAATTGATACTTGGGGCTATCCGATAAAGACCTTCCAAGAGAAGGAAGCAGCAGCCAAGGCCATCTTGCCTCCTGCATATGTCAAAACGTTGGTGTTACAGTTTTTTAATTATGATGCCTGCCAATTTATCTGCTGTTTCTCTCATTATTTTCTCTAAATAAAGATTGAAGCTGCCTAATGAGAGAAAGCTCCCTTGGCAACTCCATGAATAACAATGAACCAGTCTGCTATTGCTTATCGAAATGGCTCTGCTGTGTGCTGCTTTCCCCCCCTGAAAAGATGCCATCGGGCTGATCAATGGCCCCTCCGGGTTCCTATAGGTCCTTCTTTGCCTCAGTTTGTCATCAGAACTCTCCAGGTATTAGGGAGTCTATAAATAATGGAAATTGAAAGAAAAATGGTACATGAGGTACTGAAAGCACAGCTGGTTTGTACGACATATGATCAGCAATGTTATATTTGCCTTGGCTACCTAGTAGGGCCAAAGATAAAACTTTGGCACACACAACTGGATTACCTTGCTTTGTTTCTAACTGAATGGATTCTTGTTTAAGATAAAACAGCTTTTGCAGATATATCCTAACAATAGAAAACTGACCTCTGCTCCTTCTACACACCTCAGGAGAAGGGGCAGAGGTTCACTTTATTGCTTTTCCAATTAGAAATACAACAAAGCATGTCTGGATTGGGTCAGAACCACATGATGAGGTCACTGGCCCTACCAAAAGTGGCAATCTGTTTGGAAAGGGAAGACCATATCCTGATCAGAGCTATCCTAACAGTTCCATAAAATGCTGGCGTAACTTAGAGGTCACAAAAATCAAGTGTGTTTTCTCAGAATAACCCTTTTCCTCTGTGTCAGAATGTAGGAACTGTTTTGTGTTATTCCAAAGGTTTGGCCTAAATCCATACAATAGCATTTACACAACATGTCTCCCGTTCAAAATATGTCAGTTAATTATTGCAGTAGTTCTCACAAACAGCCCTGTAAGAAAACTATGCAAAATTGTACTGCTCAAGAAGGCTTTTCTGTGCAGGGGATAGGGCTGCACTGCACAAAATGGTTTTACAAACTTCTTTGGTTTTGATTACGTCTTGATTAAGGACTGTGTTCTATACTGTTGTGTTTAGCTTATTGTAAGTAGGATCCTATTTATGTAATTTCTGAACCACTTCATGTGTCATGTGAATAGTGAGAGCCAGTCTGGGGTAGTGGTTAAGAGTGCGGACTCTAATCTGGGAGAACTGGGTTTGATTCCCCAGTCCTCCACATACAGTTGCTGGTGTGACCTTGGGTTAGTCACAAGTTCTCTCAGAGCTTTTCTCTCAAGAGCAGACCTCAAAAGAGCTCTCTCAGCCCCATCTACCTCACAGGGTGTCTATTGTGGGGAGGGGGAGGGAAAGGAGATTGTAAGTCACTCCGAGTGAAGAGCAGGGTGTAAATCCAATCTCTTCTTCTTGTTGTGTTATGTTTCATTTCTTTCTGATGGTTCCAGACTTCTGAAATCCTAATGCACTGGTTATTGAATGTCCCAGTTTTTGTGAGTGTGCTGGCTCACTGTGTAATCTGCCTTGAGTCCCTGTGAGAAAGGTGGACTATAAAGAACCTAAATAAATAAAACAGGCTAATATTATACTCCTCTTGCTAAACGGGTGATTGACACAACTGGGTTTCTGACAGAAGTGGAATTTGAAGCCACCAGCTACACCTTAAGTTTCTAAATTCTTGGCCCTTCCATGACAAGCTGGACAAGATCCCCCCCACCCCTGGCTGCTTTCGTTCAGGAAAATGGTGTGGAGGTAAGGCAGGATCCCCTCTTCCCTGCACAGTCCCAATCCAAATCACACCTCTATGATGCTTCTAAATGGAGTTGCCACTGAGAACTCACAGCTGTAGTGTGGCTGCAAGTCCCCATGGCAAGCTCATGTAAAGAGTAATGTGTAGTTTGGCACTCAGCGGCAACTTTTCTGAGCAATTTTTGTGCCGCACGCATTCTTGTAGGTTACAGCCTACTTCTGGCTATTCTAATTTTGCAGCTAAAGAAGAAAATAAACAGAATGGATTCCTCCCCCCCCCCCACACACACACCCATCATTTGGCAAGGAACCAGTGGTATAGAATACCCACAGCCCTCTGTCTAATCCAGTAAAGACACCCTGCCCTTGCACCAATGGTACACTAACCGAGCACCACCATAGGAAAGGAATCCCACGCTGGGCACAAGTGAGTAAGCAGCCAGCATGGAGCAGACAGTTGACCAGAGACAAGAGACAGCCAGGCAGCCCTGCTGGGTGGGCCCAGGCATGACTCCCAGGCATGGAAGCTGGTGCATCTGTCCCTGGAGGGCGCTCCCCTCCCCCAGCAACAACGCATGGGGAGCTATCAGCAATCCCAAGCACTGTGTGCAACCCTAAAGCACACTGGCAGCCCCCATCCTGGGCAAAGGCACCACAGAGGCGTTGCACTCACTCAGGGGCACACTGGCGGCCATCCACCTCTGCCTTCCGCATGCCAAAGTCACAATCCACATGAGGCTGGGTGGGGGAAATCCCCCTGGAGGGAAGAAAATGTCGTTCCCAACAGGAAGCAGAAGGGCAGAGAATATGGGGAACATGTTTCAGGGTCACCAAAAGCTAGCAAAGGGTGTTGGGGGGGGGGGGTTGGGCTAAACCACTCCTCTGGGGGGTACACTGCAGCACAAGGGAGAGGCTGCTCCCCCAAACAAGCTGCAGAGAGGTGATCTGATCTCCTCCCATCATGATGCTGTGGCTGGTCCCTGCTCCTCCCACATGCCCCAGGCAGCGCTTGGCGGGGGGGGGGGATTATTTCAGTGACACCCACTGGAATGTGGTGTGCCACAGGGAGCTATTCTCTCCCCAATGTTGTTTAATATCTATATGTGCCCCCTTACTGTCAGGACCCACAGTTAAACAATCGAGTACACACTTTTGGAAA